ATATATATATATATATATATATATATATATATATTTTATATATATTAATACATAATTTCAATATTAAATTTAAATAAGATTCAACAACACATATTATATGTCATTATAATTTTTATATACATTTTCTTGACATTTATGAGAATATAAATATTGATAAAAGTAATTTTTAATTACAAATATTATGTATCATGTTATGATAAGACAATTTTTTTAATAATACAAATAAATTTTATCTCTTCCAACGAAACTTTTTTACATATATTATGATATGATCAAACAGTGAATCTCTTTCCATATACTTAAGCAAGCCAACTATTTACTAACTTGATTGGTGTTATTAATCACTTTCGACCACAAGTTCTTTCAACGAAGCTAATATTACCACCTTTCACAAGTCATGCTTGAGTCCCAACACAACATCAATGGTCCAGCATGCACTATATATCGCAACAAACACACCTTCATCTTGTGGCATATATTTCCATGCGTAGCTGTTTATATCACTGTTATTGGAAATCTGATACATGTGAAAAGGCTGAAGTTATGGACACATTTCACACCACGTCTCCCACGATTAGACGCTGAAGCAGACTAGTACACCACACACTGTATCACATTAATGGTTTAGTTTGTCCGTATATGTGACATTTCTGAGCCTTCAATTGCATGATGCAATGAATCATGGTCCTATGATGTGGGGAAAGTGGGTAGATTAATTCAGCTTTCTAAGATTTCATATCAGCCTCGGTTGACTGGCTCTAATGGAGTGTGTCTGGTTATATGTATTAGAGCATCTTTAATGAAATTATTTATATGATATATCACTATTATATCAGTTTTACTTTATTTTATGAGTTATTTAAATTTTAGTAAAGTTATTTATAAAAATCATAAAATGAATCAAAATTGATATAACGTGGTACATAGAGTTACTTATAAATAATCTAATAAATAATTCATTGGAGATGCACTTATTTTGATTTTGTTTGATCTCCTCAGATCGAAGAATAAGAAGATGTGATCATGTCGTTGTCTAAAATGGAATGCTTTCCTATGGATGATTGCAAGGAGAAGTGACAAGCCATTTTTTTATGCCATCACATCTTCTTTTTATAAAATGATATAATATTTGTCTGATATATGATCGTCACCTCCTGTTATTGCAAGCATGCAGGGTTGGTTTTTCTTTTGATATACCATATAATAGACATTTTAAAAATGTGTGTATATATATATATAATTTAATTAAAAATATCATGTTTTATTATATTAACTAAATAATATAAATGTAAAAAATCTGTAAAAAATGTATAATATTTTTTTATTCAATCTACTCTTATACTGATGTTTATTATAAAGTATTATTTAAAAAATTTTGAGAACCAAAAAATGGTGTATCTCTAAATTAGGACCAAATAAGAAGAAAAAAAAAACAAAATTGAAGACTAAAATTTTAATATCAAACTTAAAAACTTTTAGAGAGACAAAAACGAATAAATTTTATTTTTTTTATGAATGTAATAATCACAAAAAGCTAACAATAAACATATCTCTATAATCATATTACATTTTATTTAAATATAGAAATAAAATACATTAGAGATTATAATTTTATTTTTTAAAATAATATAAAAATTATATACAATTATATACTACATTGGCTCATTTATAATAGTCATTTAATTAAATTTACTTTATACAAATCAATAAACTTAAAAATTTTTCATATTTTCATTATATCTTATTTCATTTTTGTTTTATAATAAATGTAATTAGTTATCATGTGTAAGTTAATCAAAAGTTATGTGAGACATAAAAAAAATTATTAATAACATAATAATTAATATTGTCTTAAAATTTTAAAATAATAAAAAAATAAAAATAAAATTTTACTTAAAAAAACGAGAAGTAAAAAAGAATAGGAAGATTGGAAGAGTAGATTTGTTTAATATTTTTGAGTTCTTCTTAGTCATTGGTCCATCGCACGTCTAGACCAAGTCCTGTGCTAACCCTGACCGCATGGTGCACTATGAACCTAGCTTTTTTCTTCTTTTTTTTTTCACTTACTTTCTTTTATTTTTTTTTCTATCACTTTTTTGTATTTTTATCGGTTTATCAAACAGTATAATCCGAATACTCATTTATTAAAACTCTTGTTTTTTTACACCAAATTAAAACTCGTGTATCTTCCCCTTAAACAAGCACGTTCATTCTGGATTGTTTTCAATGTTACCACACTATAAATTACACACAGACTACAAGTACGTTCCTTTCAAAAGTTGCATCGATCTCTTCCTGAAGTAAATCTTGGCTTGTTTGATTTGATAAAGACTATTCACGCCGAAAGCAAAAGATGTGGAGTAGAAGTGATCAAACGCGACACTAAAAAAAAGTGATGTTTGTACAACATTTTTGTTTTGACAAATGTCCAGTTGAAATTAAGTAGTTGTTTTTGTAATGAACTCAACAATATCCTATCCCCTTTATGTAAAAATAAAATATATTTATAATATTAATGTAAATGTAAAAAGTTATTTTGGTATGTAACATGTTATCATATCAGTCATTGAATAGAAGAAAATTATATAAAAAAAAGAGAGTATAAATTTACAATTATATTAATGAAAAATTAAAAAAATTACATTACCAAAGTAATAATACTATTATATATTTAAAGGCTAAAATAACAATAAATAATTAAATTTAGAAGTTTATTTAACATTTTATTGCCATATTTAACATTTTTTTTAATTCAAGAACTAATTCTTGTTGTTCACCGCTTTCATGAAGAAAATTACTATTTACCAAATTATCAACATATTTTTTACCCAAGAAAGTTATCTTGATATATTAGAGACAGCAAACTCGTGTTTAGAGACAGCACACACTTACATTTCACATGATTGGTGTATGTGAAAATTAAACTCTTTAAAAGTTTACAAAATCATATTGCACCTTTTAAAAAAATTAAAAACAAAAGTGCACAATGAGTCACTATCCCAATTTTAAGGGAGTAAACTGAAAAGTTTCCAAATATAAATAATGATAAACACTATTTCGTCAAAAAATTAAGTAGTAAAATAATTAATTTGAATACTTCTACGTCTTCCAATACCATCATTTCAAAATTCTTCTAATTATTAAATTAAAAATATTGTATCCTTTTACATTTCTATTACTTTAAGATATTAACATTATTCACTTTTTATTCGATATCTTTTTAATAAAACGAAAGGAAGTTATTAAAAAAATGATATTGTGCCTTGCGCACTTAACCTAATAAGATATAATATTATTCATTTCATTACGAGAAAGTGATATTTTTAAAATAGAACTCACTGAAATATGATTTTGTGCCTTGCGCACTTACTCTCACATCTTAATTATTAAATTATAATAAGTGATTGAACGATAGAATAACGACTAACGCAATCTTAATATACATCAGATTTGTTAACTTATAATTGAGAGAAATGGTTTTCCACGCACATAAAGCCCTTGTTTGGTTGAGATACTTCGTTCAGTGCGGAAGCTTGCTGATTTCTTGTCATATAAGACAGGGCAGTGTTATATTTAATTTATAATGAGCTTTTGTAGTTACTTTTTTTTTTTTTGTCTCTTTCTACGTACTACGTTTATTATCTTCTTTTTTATGCATTACTTTTCATTTTCTCTGTATTTATTTCTACATTTTAAAGTTTGTTAAAAAAATAGAAATAACATTATCCTGTATAAAAATAAAATTAGATAATATATATCAAGTCATGAACTTAATTTATTTAGGTCGTTAATCAATTAAAATTATCATTTGCATTATGTTTAAAGTAATCATTGTATAAGTTAATAAGCTTACGATACATATAACTCTCTGTGATTAAATAATAATATATAAGTTTTTACATTATCAGTGCATAAATTATTTACCCTAACTAGAAAATTGATAGATTGAAACCTGTTACATAGTCCAGTACTACCAAGGAAAAGATAGACATATATACTAATTAACATAGATGTATATATATTTATTTTTCTTCCTCCTATTTATTTAGAATCTTCATACCTAGCACTATAGTAATCTAATTCTCCTTTTGAAGCTAACTCCATATCTTGAGCTTTATCTAGGAGGTCAACACTTCCCTTGTAATGATACCTTTGAGCCACATAGAGAAAATAAATCAAGTTGAGGACTCCAATTCCTGCTATGAGATAGTAAAAGTAGTCCAGTCTGCCAGCATTGATATTATTGGTCAACCAATCTGGATGGCTATGTGTTCTAGTGGCATGATGAACAGCAGTGACTATTGCACTGCTAACATAGCTAGACCCAGCAAAAGAACATGAGAACAAGGCATTAGCAATGCTTCTCATGTGCTCAGGAAATTGCCTGTTGTAGAACTCAATTTGTCCAATTATATTGAAGGCCTCACACATGCCCATAAGGACTAATTGTGGAGCCAGCCACAGGACTGACATGGGGGCAATGCCCAAAGGATTTGGATTTGGATTTGAATTTGCCAAATCTCTTCTCACTTTCTCCACTAATGCAGCAGCAATCATGGACAGAACGGAGAACACCATGCCAATTCCAATTCTCTGGAGGAGAGTGATGCCCCCTTCATGCTTAGTGACTCTTCTGAGTGCTGGCACCATGACTCTGTCATAGAATGGGACCCACAAACCTATGGTCATGAATGATATGACTGAAAGTGAGCCAGGTGGGATTTGGAATTTGGGTCCTAGGTGCCTGTCCATTTTCAGTGCTTGTGAGATAGTAAATGTTCCTTGTTGGGCCATGGAAGTGAAACCAAGGATCCCAGCAGCCCAGATTGGGAAAATTCTTGCCAAACATTTAACCTCTTCCACTTGCTGGATGCTCACAAGTTTCCACTCATTTACCCTACTCCCATCTTGGTTTAGTTCCCCCTCCATTATTATAGCTGCTTTATTCAAAGTCCTGTTAAAAATATAAATCAACTCATCTAATTAATTTCTTTTAAAATAATAATAAATCATTTAACCCATTAGTTTATTTAGTTATTAGGATATTTTCATATATAGTAATATTACTAGCTTTACTTTCCTTCGTCAAATTCACTAGAAAAAAGAATACTAACATAATATAATTCCAAAAGTTGAATCCAAGTTTTAGATAATATATTATTCAAAATATAATTATTGGTAGCGTGTTTTAATTATTGGTCAATGATAGTATGACAATGACACGCACCCACAATAATATTATATTATAAATTAAGATAAAGCTCTTGCAACTTTGGATACACATCCTTAATAATAGAGATATGATCAATCTTACCGGAATTGGTTGGTGAACGGAAGCTTTGACAAAATCTGAGTCCCACTAAGTGGAGGATCATAGAAAACCCCATCAACTTGCTTCCCACTCGGAAGCTCAAATTTTCGCTTTCTATAAGCAGCCACTAGAACTTGCCCAATGCTAGAGAAAATGCTTCCCTCAGGCTTCACATGCACGTAGATCCTTGTTCCCACGAAGAACAAGATGATGGAGCAAAACATGCACACGGTTGGGATGGCGAAACCTATCTTCCAACTAATGGAGTCTTGGATGTACACAACCACTGTTTGAGTGATCAACAACACAATTGTGAAAGAGGTGTAGTACCAATTGAAGAAGCTGTTGATCCCTTTCTTCCCTTCATCTGTGGTGGCATCGAATTGGTCGACACCAAAGGGGATGCTACATGGCCTTATGCCAGCAGAGCCTATGCTCAAAAGGCAAAGCCCCGTAAGAAGAACACTCACATGGGGTGTGGTGGCTTTAACACATTGGTTCAGTGCTTGTTGTTCAGGACTGCATGGTGGAGGATGCAACTGTGCTAAACACGCGGTTAAAGTCACCACGGTCATCCCCTGTCACATTACAAAATTCAATTATTTATGCCACAAATGTATGTAACAAAATCATCCAGCACCACACTCTCTTTCCAACACTATATATATATTTTTTATTAACAAAAATTTATTATAAATAACAAATTTTGTAAAGAATTAATCAAAATTGTGGTAGGAAAATTCACCACCTTTCATCAAATGAACATCCGAGAATCAAAGTCAAATACAAAAATACAAAATGATGTCACGTCCGAAATCGCATCTATGAAAACGATTTATGTACGCAAAGGATAAAGAAGATAAAAGATAGTGGCAGAAGTCAGACTTAGCCCAGTGCAGGTGACTCGTGAGGATTAGTTATCATAAATAATTAATAATCAACACTGTATATGATAATAATTCTCTTTTCATATAATTATATCTTAAAGTAAATAAAATAACTTTTGTCTTACTCGGCGAAGATAAATGACAAAGTCACAAAGTCGTTCAATAACATTTTAATTCCTAAATTCTTTTTAGTCTCTAAAAAAATTCATTCAATTTTAATCTCTAAAATTTTTTACATTAACGAAAAAAACTTAACGAGAGAAAAGTTCAAAAATTAAGAATAGAAATTGATAAAATTTTAAAAACTAAAATTAGTATAAAAAAATTTGTTTAGAGACTATAAATAAAATTTTATAAAAATTTAGAAACTAAAAACATATTCAATCTTTCTTACAAAATAACAAACGGGAATTTTTTTTAATATTTACAAACAACATTTTCCATTACAAACAATTTCGATTCATTTTCTCCTTTGCTTAGAATATATTAAAATTGTTGCCTTTGCTCCATCTTTACTATTAAATTAAGCTCACGTGGACAATGATTTAACTTCACTATTACAAAATTGCGTGTCAGTATCACGTTAAACATTAAAATATAATATATAGTCAGACAATTAAAGCAGGAGAATATCATATATAGTGTACGGGGTTTGTTAATAATCAGTAAAAAATTAAAAGTCTTTCTCTTTATAAAAGAACTAGTGGGGTCGATAAAAATAAGATAAAAGTTAAAATTAAATAATAAAGATATGTTAATTCAATTAGTATTACGATTAGTTTTTAAATTTTAAGATTTTGAGTTTAATAAAAAGGTATAATAGTCAGTAAAATATGAAAATTAAGAAAGTTACTAAAATGAGTATTTTCATTATATATATTAATATAGATAAAAAAATATTTTAATATAATAAATATTTTTTTCACTAATGTTTTTATTTTTATCTCTAATACTAATACTTAGAAATGATCTCAAGTTGTAAATTAACACCCAAATTACACTCTTTTTTTTTTTTTGTAGAAAATATCCGTAGACACCCCCTAAGTCCCTTATGTATAGACATCCAAAGAAAAAAAGCTAAGTAATATAATTAATGAGTGATACATAAACAAAAATAGAGATAGGAAAAATATAGTGTTGATGATTTTTTTTTTGGGTATTAGTGTCAAGTGTTTTGGTGGACATATTCTAAATAAGTGAATAACCTCTACGATTACTTTTGCTGTATATTCTATAAACTAGAGATTTTTTTTTTAAAAGTATTATGAATCACAATAAACATAATACAATATTGCTATTTATCAAACTATTGTAATATTACTATCTACATCGATATAAAAATTTAAAAATAAAAATATAAACAAATTATGTAGACAATTTAATTTAACGCTGTAAAAAACATCCGTATCTGGGAAAATCCTAATGAATATCAACACACATACGGTCATGTTTTTGTGTACAATCCATAAGTCACGCAATTGCATTATCATCTCTCTTTTCTCTTTCCATTTTTGTCTCTTTCTATATGTGCCCATCCATGGTTCCAGTGACTCTACGCAGTGTCTGATTTTGAAATTTCAGTTTATATAAAAATATTAATTCTAATTTAAATAAATCATAATTTTAATTTTTAAAATTTAAAAGTAAATATAAGAGTTATATTGTTTATATAACAAATTCATATAAAACTTTTATACACTATTTCTTTTTGCATCGCTCTCCAATCCATCATATCAACTATTTTATTTGACATTTTTTTCTTTGTATCTTTCTCTTTAATAATATATATATATATATATATATATATATATATATATATTTA